GGGGGGGGTGCACTGCTTCCTGCTTTAGGGAGGGAGTTGGGACTCACTTCTCAAAGTTGAAGAGGGGGAAACGGATGCTGTTCTTGATGAAAATAGTGAAGTTCTCGGCTTCCATCATGACAGGCCTGTGGGTGAGAACACGGGGGCCTTAGCTTCTTGGGAAGAGACAGGGGAAACAAGGTGCTTTCGCCCAGGGACCACTTTTACTGCTGGACGTTTCCCACCCGGCACCTGGTCTTGGCCTCTCTGGGGCCGAGGGCCAGAGGGAGAGGAGGGTGGCAGGTGAGAAAGGGGGAAGGTGCCATCCTGAGACCACTTCCCGGCCCTGGACTGGACCCCACTGGGGGTGCCCGTGACACCCTCTGCAGGCGCAGGGGTGCAGACAGAGCTCCTCCCCACATTGGCAATGGAGAGCTGGGGTGGGGTCCTCACATTTCCACCGTGTCCACCTCGGTGGGGCACCAGCCCTGGATCTCACAGGTCCGGAGCACAGAGCTGTAGTTCACGCAGCGGCCGGTGAGGATCCCTGTAACGGGAGCCACGAGTGCTGGGGGTCTTTGCCACTCCCTCACCCCCACCCCACCTTTCACCAGGGGACCCCTGCCCCCACACTCAGGGACCCCACAGGTGGAGGGGAGACACAGGGAGGGCAAGGAAGGTGGACCAATGGCACCGGAGCCCTGCTGAGCTCTCTCCCTCCTCTCCTCCTGAGCCCTAGACCAAGCCAGGGGGAGATGAGTCTCCTTGCTCCCCGGTCACGGTGTGCTCTTCCTTGCCTCTGAGGCTTTGCTGCAGCTGTTCCTTCTGTCTAGAATGTTCTTCTCAAAACCCTTCTATGCTGCCAACTCCTTCCCATCCTTCAGGGCCCGTCTAAAATGTCACCGCCTCTAGGAAGCCATGTGGGGCCACCTACCTGGAGCCAATCTCTCTCCCTTCCCCAGTTCCTCCTTGATGGCACTTGCCCCCTCATGGCACACCTCTCTGTCACCACCATCCCCGGGCTGTGGACTCCTCTGGGGGCGGCCCCCACTGGCTCTGGCTCACGTGAGCATCTATAAATGCTGGCAGAATTCCAAGAAACAGGCCAATTCCCATGCTCTCTCCTAGGGTGGACTCTCCCCCATGGGGGATGTGCTGCCCTCCAGGGTCCCACTAACACCCTGGGGTTGTGGGAGGGGGGCGGCGAGGGGAAGGGATGCACTCACCCCCACTCGGGAAGCGCTCAGGCCCACACTGGCCGTCTGATACACAGCGGTACTTCTCCTCGCTCTGTGGGGAGACAGGGCTGCAGGTGGGTGTAGGACCCTGTGCTGGGCCTGGATGAGCCCCTCGGCTCCTGATGCTTCCCCATAACTGGGGGCCTTTGGAGGTGGAGGTCCCAGGACACAGCTCCAAGGCCGGAATTCGGACCTCTGCTCACACCCATATGCCCCTCCCTGCCACTGCTCCCCACCCGCAAAGTTTTCTTCCTTGACCTGCTTCATCCGACCTCTCTTCCTCCCCTCACCTCTGGGCAGAATCCTTGCATCTGGTTTTCAGTAACTATCATCTTGGTGATGATGACAAAGACAGAGGTACCCTTGGTAGGAGAAGGGAGAGAAAAAAAAATGCACCAATGACAGTCCAGGAGCTGGGTATCACTGTTATCCCCACTCTACAGATGAGGAAGCCCATACTTGGGGTAAGAGATTCGGCCAAGGTCACAGGGCTAATAGAGGGCAGAGGTGGGTCCAAGTCAGGTCTAACCATCCACCCGTCCTCTCTTGCCTCCCTCTGTGTGTTGTGCTGATCACAGGATGAGTGTGGCAGGCCCTGAGGGGGACCCTGCTTCCCTGATGCCTAGTGCTGCACTCTGGAGGGCAGGCCCAAGCACCCCACCCCACCCCTTCATCCTCCAGCTGCAGGGGAAGGGCTTCTCTGATCACCGATGCCACAAACCCTGGTTGGGGGATCCCGTCGGCACTCTCCCTACCTTGCCCCAGCATCTGGGCATCCACATAGCGCCCTGGGGGTAGGGGACTGTACCTGGGGTGGGGTCACATAATCAGACACGTCCATGACTCTGTTGGCATAGCGTCCAAAGCCCTTGACCTTGGTTACGACGGAGGACTCAATGGCTGTGTCCCGCACCTGGTAAGCCTTCTCGTGTAAGAACACCCACCTGGGCAGAAGAGCAGGGATGGAGAGCAAGAGAAGAGGGTCTAGGCCCATCAGACAGAGGCCAGGAGAGGCTTCCTTCCCCAACATTAGACGGCACAGGGTCTGGCCCTGTGGCAGGGGGAAGGCCTGTGCTGGAGGGGAGAGACCTCGCCCTGTGTTGGCTTAGAGTTTTCCCATCTTTCCTGTTTACTGCTTCAGGACCACTTTTAGACTTTTTCCCCTCCCCTGCACCCCCATCGTGAAATTTTAATACTACAGATATCAGCTTATGTACAGTATGTATATTTGTATTTTATACATAAAAATCTCAAGGATAGGTTTTCACCCCCTTGGGGGCAGCATCGCCCCCTTGAGGGCGACATCGTCCCTTTGCCAACGCATCGTCATTCCCGCTGACTCAGAGGCCACCTCTTTGGCAGGCGACTGGAAAGAGGAGGGGCAGGATCCCCTGCCCTGAGCATCCTACACCTCTGACCCTGAGCACCCCAGGCTTTGCTCGTGGGTGAGCCTAAGTGCCGGCACATAGTAGGTGTGCGGTAAACAAGTCAGTGAAGGCATCTGGGAGCTGGACACTTGGTAGAGTCTCCACCTGTGCAAGCGCCAGATGAAGCTAGAGGAGGAGGGGAGGAGCGGCTCACTACCCCGCAGGTAGAAGGAGTTGGGTTAGCAGGCGGCGGCCGCTGACCTCATTCCTTGGACTGTGCTGCCACCCAGTGGAAGTTTACCTGTACTGCCTTCTTCTTGCCGCTTCAAGCCATTAACTTGGGCCAGGATCAGGGCGGGCTCCCACTCTTCCACCTCCGCCTCTCTCCCCGGACTCCCGGACCCTCGCAGCCTTCCCCAGCAGCAAGAAGGGCCTGCAGGCCGCTCTTCCCTCTGCACTCCTGCGAGAGCCCTCAAGGCGCGAGCCACTCTTGGCCTCAATAGCACACTCCCAGTCTGTAACCAGTCCTATTAGCTCCGGACAGCACACGGGGAGGCAGATGCCGTCACTGTCCCCATTATACAGATGAGGAAGGGTCATCACACGCATTTGGAAAATGCTTCACACTCCTAGTTTTGGAGAAACACTGGTGACATCTCGTGGAATCCAGGAATGCACTTTGGGAATTGCTGGATTAGGGTCACTTTCTGCATGCTAACCGAGGACGGCACAAGGTTGGGGTGGCCCATCAGATGAGGATGAACAGAAGGAAGGAACTGGAGGCTGTGTGTTGTGGAAAGCACAAAGCTGGGGAAGGGTCAGGCTGGGAAGCTGACCTGAGGACTTTATAAGCAGGGGGTTAGGATTTCAGGCCCGGGAGTTTTCCAACCCCGGAAGGTTGTCTAAGAATGGGCTGCTATGGGAGGTGGTGAGCTCCACGTGCCTGGGAAGACTCAAGGAGATGTTTTCAGTTGAGAGGGGGTATTGGACTGGATGACCTCTGGAGTCCCCATAGCGGGGAACAGCTCCGGGGTCATGCTGGGGGTCACAGTCACTTGTAGGATGGGCACCTACCTGTCCTGTTTATGTGAACACAGGCTGACGTTTGCAAGAGACTCTTTGTGCAGTTTTCAGTGAGGGGGCTGGGAGTTACCCCATAATGGGGCTTCCCTCATGGGTCTGAATTCCAAATGCTCTCCTGAGTGGGACAGAGGGGGTGGGGTCACAGCCAGCACTGGCGGGTGGCTCCCAACCTGTCACCTGTTTTATTGTTGCCGCCTTATAGCAGGCAACATCCTGATTAATGCAGCCTTAGGAGTTGTTCATATGCTTGTACAGGGCTCGAACACCCTGCCTGTATGGACATCCGTGGTGTTGTATGCTTTACTTTCTTTTTCTTTTTTCTTTTTTGCAAGGGGAGGGGTTTCATCAAGGTCTCGTAAGAAAATCTCACACACAAATCTCATCCACCACCTGACGTCCAAATGAGTGTTATCAGCTTACGGCTGGGGCCCTGCCCAGTGGAAGGAGTGAGGCCAAGGGCCCAGGTCTCCCTGCTCCCAGCTGAGCTCACCACTGCCCCAAGTAGAAGCCACAGTCACAATACGCCGTCTGGAACCTCAGTGTGCCTGGCCACAGAATGGCCACATCTCTGAGCAGTGATCTAATGACAAGGTTTCCTAAGACCCCTTGCCCTGTCCATAAAGCCCAGGAACATCTGCTGATGAGAAGCGGGGTTCAGATCATCACCTAACCAACACAGCCTGCTGAGTGCTCTGTGCGGTAAGGGTTCCCTGAGTCCTTACCACAACCCAGGGAGACATTTTTGTCAGTACTATTATTTTTTTATGCTTGTTTATTTTCGGGGGAGAGAACGAGTCGGGGAGGGGCTGAGAGAGAAGAGGACAGAGGATCAGAAGTGGGCTCCGCGCCGACAGCAGAGAGCCCGTTATGGGGCTCGAACTCATGAACCATGAGATCACGACCTGGGCCGTAGTCAGAAGCCCAACCGACTGAGCCACCCAGGCGGCCCTTAGGTCACACATAAGGAACCAGAGGCACAGAGGTGTACTGACTTGCCAAGCTGAGAGGTGGGCTCCAACCTGGACAGACTGCTCGGAACCCCCTCACACCTCACACCCTGCACGGCTGGTCTTGGGGCTGCTGGCTCCTGGTCACCGGGGCAACAACTCTAGGCTTGGCAAAGTCTCAGGAGGAAGGGCCCCTAGGGCTTGGAAGAGTAATTAACCAATCTCTTTCCTCCTCCTTCTCCTCTAAAGCTCCTTCTTGTGCCCAGTGGGTAGGAGACTCCACATCAGAATTCTCTCTCTGAGTTAAATAATAAGTGGGAGAATTTCAGTGTCCCCTTGGGGCCCAAGGACATCATCAGGGCAGCTCAAAATAAGGGGATGCTTCATTTCCAGAACAGAGGGACTGAGTCTGTCTCCAGAGGCCAGGGCTGAGGAGATAGGGCAGGACTGGGCCTTCGATTCTTGGCATTTACTCTGCTACTCTGACTTATTTTTTTCTTGTGTTCCTGGTTTATTATTTATAGAGCGGAAAGCGGGTGTCAGCTCCTTGGCAGGTGGGATGTGTGGGATGGAGGCCAGAGCAGCATCCCAGCCCCTTCTGTCCACCCCCAAGGAGTCAGGGAGGAGGCTGGGGAGTGGGCGTGGAGGGTGTGTGTGTCTGGAGGAGAGGGGTCTCTAAGGAATGTGTGAGCCGGGGGGAAGGGGAAGGTGTGCTGGGGAGTCCATGAAATGATCATAGCTGCCATCTATCACTGACTCTCCCATTTCAGGCAAAGCACTTGACATAGCAGCTCGCCTCGCCATACCTCCCTGGGGCGGACATTCCTAAACCCATTTTTCCAGATATGAGGCCTGAGACTTAGAGACATAAGGTGACCCGTCCAAGCCCCACTCATAGTTGTGTCAGAGCGAGGCTTCTAACCAGAGGCTCTTCCTTCCATGGCCTCCCCTTCATGGGGTGTGGAGAGGGGAGAAGGAGACCAGAGTGAAAACCACTCCTCTCTCTGCACCTGTAACGTGGGAGGTTCCAGAAGGTCTTCCCACCATACTTGCCACCTAGTGTCCCACGGGGTGCCTAGGGTGCCTCCAGCGGGGGAGGATGGGGTGGTGGGCCAAGAAGGTGGAATTTCAGGCCCTTCTCTCTAAATGAGAGCAGCTTCCCTTTTAACTGCTGTATGTATTGAGCTTCTTTATAAGATTCAAAATGAGGCTGGATATTATGAACCAAATGGGGCAGCTGTGCAAATAGTGAGTCTACGGATTGGGCCGCGCAGGGGGAGAGAGGGATGGGGAGAGCAGGGCTGTGAGGGGTCCGAGACACCATCAGCCACCGCAGGTCCTTCTGATGATGAAGCACCAAAGGGCGGGGGGTGCCCCTCTGTCAGTTTGCAGGAAGGCACTTCCTTCAAGGAGGTCCTGCAAACCAGCCATGGAACCACCAGCACTTCTGTAAACTCAGTCCCCAGGGATCTCCTATTTCCTCCTCAGCTCCCCAGAGTATCCCAAAGAGAGACTGGCTCTTAGGAAGTCCCACCCCACAGAGGAGACAGGGGATTGCCACTGGGGCCCAGGAAGTCCACATGAGAAACACCAGGAAAGTCTTGGCCTCTCTGTGCACCTGGCTGGGTAAAGGAAACCAGGGATGAAGTGGTGTGAACCCCAGACAAGCAGCCGAGGTTGGAGCAGGGGTGAGAGCATACGTGCAGACGATAAGCTGGTGTGTTACTGCAAATGCATAAGAGGAATGGCTGGCTCATGTTACACGTGTCCTAGTAAGGTTGTGCATCTGGTCTACCTCGCAGGGATGATATGGCAGAGATTCAAGTGTTAGTTACATGTTACTATCACAGCATTAAAAATCCTTCCAAATTCTACTGTGTCCAAGCCATCCTCCTCTCTCTCCCTATGACTGCACCACCCTTAACGGATTATCCTGTGTCCATTCCTACCCACTCCAATCCCTTGGCATATGAGCCAGAATGATCTTCCCAATTCAGATCTCATTTGTCCGTCTCCTCTCTCTCTCCCCCTCTCCTTCCCTCCCTCCCTCCCTCCCTCCGTCTCTGTCTCCCTGTCTCTGTTTCTCTGTCTCTCTGTCTCTCTGTCTCTCTCTCTCACACACACACACACACACACACACACACACACACACACACACTTCCCATCCATTGTCCTTCTGTACGAATGAAAGCTCTGAGGGTGTCTGAGGTCTGGCTGGGTCTGTGATCCCACCCCTATCTCACGCCACACTCACCTTTGCTCCTTCTGCTCCAGCCGTAGAGACCTTCTTTTCTTCTCCGCATTTGCCAGGCCCTTTCCCTTTGCAGAGCTGGGTTTCTCTGCCTTGAATCCTCTTCCTTCCCTTTCCCCCACCCTGGGTTGTTCTTACGTGTCCTTCAGATCCTTGGGCACCACACCTCCAGAAAACCTTGTCTTAGCTCCCCAACCAGGTCAAATACCTCCATGCTGGCAGCTCTCTTAGCACCGTGTGCCTCTTCTTCAAATCATGGGCCTTGGTTGAAATTTTACATTTGTTCTTGGAGATAGTTTGATTAATGCCCATCTCTTGCACTGTAAGCTCCATTAGGGTGAGGGCCCTGTCTGCTTTTGCCCACCTTTCTGTCCTTGGTGCACAATGCCTGGCATGAAGAAATGCTCAGTAAATTTCTGCTAAATTAATGACAATGGATCATGAAGTCCTAATGGTGCATGGGCTCACGTGCACAGAGATGGGGCTCAGGCCAGGGGGCTGGGCTGCAGACTGCACGGATGTAACTGGAAAGAGCTGCTCCATGGGGAGCTGTCAGGCTGGGAGATGGATGGGGCTGGATATCAAGACGCGGAAGAGCCTCTCCTGTTTGTTCCTGCAGGCTGAGCTCCAGCACTGAGGATCAGAGCATCAGATCGTATCACAATGAGGAAGAGACAGGGGCAGGGGGAGAGCAGAGCAGACTGGCCCAGGAGGCGCTGTCTACCCTCCATCAACCTTCTGCCAGAGCCAACAGAGCCAGGAATGTGCTGAGGCAGCTTTGGGATCCACCTGGACCACCATACCGTCTCGTCTCGGCTATAAACAGTCACAGCATCGTATATACATGTGAACATGGAACAGTTAAGAACCAACTTCCAGCCAGACTCTGGAGATGCCGACATGGAACACTGGCAAACATTGTATCTCACAAAACCTCCCAGTTGCAAGTAAACTTCAACACTGCTTATCCTACCCCTTCTCTCATATCCCGGAGAGGAGCACTGGATGCATAGCCTGGTCCAAACGGGCACATAAGTGAAGGCTACTGGCTCCCACAAAGCACGCAAAGCAAAAAAAAAATCCCTTAAGCCACGTCTGCCTGCTTTTCCGAGCACACGCTCACACCCTGCTCTGACCTTTCAGGCAAGGAGGCCCACGCACGCACAGCTCCAGCTCACACATGCACCGGAGGTCCCCTTTCACTTGCTTGAATTCACTCATGACAGGTGTCACTAGCTAGCTGTCTCTCACACGCAGAGCCATTGTCTCAAGGAACAGCATTGTCTCAAGGAACACCATGAGACTAGAGACTGGCACACCAGGAAAGAAAACTTGAGAGGTTTCTGCCTGTCATTTCTGGTGCCCCATCGGTGCGCGCAAATGACCACAAGAAAGACAGAACCTGTGTTTTCTCCCCAGCCATTGTCTGTTTCATGGCCCTTTGTGTATATATGTGTGTGCGTGTGTGTGTGGGGGGGGGAGTGCATGCCTTTAAAGGTGGGCACTGGGAGGGGGTCTTCTGACCACTGGCTCTTAAGCAGCCCCCAGGACGGGTTATATGGTACAAAGTCAGGTAGCAGTAGAGAACATTCGCTTTCTGACAAAGGGGAGTGTTTCTGGATTCATGAGGAGGGCTCCTGTATCGTGTTCAAATGGCCACCTTTCCCCTGAGCAACTCTTCCCTTGAGTGTTATTTGTGCCTGTGTCTCTCCTCCTCACCAAAGAGCAGACCCCCTGCTTTGTCCTACCTTCTAGGAGGAAGGGCTTCTCCCCTGGCCCCATTTTTTCACCATCGCCCCAAAGCCAGGAAGGGAATCCCTCATTCCAAAGTGGTTCAGTTCCCTCCTTCCCACCCCACCATCAACCGGATCAAACCAGCACTGTCTCCCCTATTTCAGTGCCTTCCCTTCCCCTTTCCTGTGCTCCGTCGTCTTTTTAGGACCCCAAAGCACTGGTTGAGGAGAATGGGAAGATGTATGTGTGGGGGGTCTCTTCTCTGGTGGGGGCAGGATAGAAGGGAGAAGCGAGATGGTCACCTGGGACTTCTCCTGGTGGAGGGCGTGGTAGCAGGGCAAGAACTCACTCCTTGGGGTGTGTGCCTAGAAACCACCCTCTGATTCCCGAGGATTTACTGGGGAAAAGAACTCATCTGGGGACCAGATCCCTGATGGGAGTGGCCGAGTCCAGTCCATGGGACACGGCTCCTTAGAAGAGACTGCTTCCTCCAACAGAGAAGCCCAGGCCGCTGGACAGCAACAACACCGAGGGGACACCAGGCAGCCCTCCCCTGCCAGGACCCGAAGGCCCACAGGACTCACCCCACGAAGTAGGAGATGATCAAAAGCTGGACTGCTCGGTTGATGACCCCAATGGTCCAGCTTTTCACAACCACTGACTTGGTGGTCTCGTAGGTGAAGAAATCTGACACGCAGTTCATGCTGAGAGAGCACTCAGGGGCCACTGAGAAGGGACCCAATGGTGGCCTCAGGAGGGAGAGGTCCTCAGGACAGGGAGACAGAGATCAAAGCCTGGAGGGGACAGCTTGGAGGGGCTTGAGGAACGGGTGGGGAGCCTGTTCCTTTAAGTCAGGCAACCCTAGCTCAGTGCCCAGGCTCTCTCTGCTCTTGATACTCTGGGCTGCCAAGAGTCCAAGGCCAGGGAGGGGGGACCCCCTTTTAGTTCGTCTCCACCCCACTCCCCTGTGATGTCACGGCAGGGGTGGGGTCTCCAGTCCCAGGCTCCTGATTGCCTGGGATGCAGCTGGCTAGGGCCCTCTGGGACTCGTGTTTTATCTGCACTGTCTACCCTTTCTGTTCCGTTCTCTTATGCCGCATCTTTATTCCAGCTCACCAGCTGCTTCATGCTCTTCTTAAAGCCCCTTGAAACGTCCCATCCCCCAGGCATCCAGCAGCCTTTCCTGGGCTGAGTGCCCCCTTCATTTGTGAGTGTCCTCCTAAGGTCGCTTGGTTTTGCAGCCATCTACTCCTTTCTTGAGTTGCCTCCAATAGCATGGGTCAGTGGGGAAGGGTCTCTTGAATATTCCTCTTGACCTTCTGGGAGGAGTGAGTAAAGAGTTACATGGTTCACGTTCCTAACTCAAGCTGGCAGTGGCCCACAGTCTATCTGCAGCCTGACCTTATCACCTTGGGGTGTTTTGTTTTGCATTGTTTTACTGTGAGTTTACTTGTCTGAACCTTTTGTTTCATATTATGCTCCTGGAAGGCTGGGGCTGTTTCTATCTTGCTTCCTAGTCTCCTCAAATCCTAGAACTGAGTTGGAGCTCAATATATATTTACTGAATGTATGTCGCTAGATAGTGCTGGAATGGCCTTTACTCAGAGGTTAAAGTCATGAATTCAGGGAGCAACAGTGCATTCTGTCTTTTATCCCAGGATTGAGTTAGCAAGCTGGCATAACTAAATCAGATTAGCGGGGAAGTCTTGAATTTAAATATTGTGTCCTAACGTCTTCGTGCAGGACACATATTACCAATCATTCCGGATGTAGAGTCACCGTGATTAAGAGAGAAGGGAAGTGGACGGGGGTAAGGAGATTTGGGACCCTGGGCAAATCCTCTTTGGGCCTCAGTTTTCCCATCTGCAAAGGGAAGTCATAGTGGTCAAACTCAAACATCTCTGCCAGGAGGCCAGACCTCCTCTGATTTTACCAGATGTGCCCTACGACTATATTGGTTGGGGGGGGGGGGGGGGGGGGGGACGCGGCTTCCGAGATCCCACGCTGCTGGGGTTTCGAATCAGCGCCGCCTCTCAGGGGAATCTAACACGAGCACTTGAACTTGATACTGCCACGTGCCAGTCTCTTCCAGGCGACCCCTATACTGCAGTCTGGGGTGTGAAATTTTTGGGCGCCGTGAACTCCTTTCAGAGCATCCAGTCCCCGACGTCAGGGGAGAGCGGTACAAGTCACCGTGACACCGACACCCAGGAGCCAACCAGGAGCCGGGCGGGTCACCTCTCTCCGCAACTCGAAATATTTTTCTTCTTGTACCCAGAGACTCCTTTCTACTCCACAGAAACTGCTCCTGTGCAAGACAGAGGGACAGACAGGCATACGCAATCTGTGGCAAGTCTAACAAGATAAAACTACGCAATTTCCCTCCAGAACTTAGTCCTCCACTGGAGAGATGTAATTTTTAAAGAAAGAGCCCCGAGCGCTCCCATCTTTTTGTCAGGTTCGCGCCGCGCTGCTTCCTCGCGGATCCCCTTCTCTCAGGTCCTCCAGGGCGGCCGACGCTCTATACGACACCCTCGTAGGCGGGCCGGACTCACGTCTCTCTAGCCAGCTCGTCCTCTCTATGGTCCGTGCACGGCTTCCGGTGGCGGGACGCGGGGCCGCGCACGCGGGAAAAGCTTCCCCAGCGTCCCCCCCCAAGTCCCCCTTGTCCCCGTCCCCCCTCCCGCGTCCCCCAGCGCGCCCACCGCCCGCACCTGGGCCGTAGCGAGGCTGCATCTTGAGAAGGTGGGTGGTCTCCGGCCCCGTGTCCCCGGAGGGCGCGGGCCCCGCTCCCCCGCGGGACGCTCAAGATGGACCGTTCCGCGTTCGAATCCACGGGCAGCGGGCGAATCCATTTTAGGGGGAGGGGGAACCGTGGGTCCCGGGCCGTGGCGCGGTGGGAGCGCTGGGAGAGAAACCTTGCGCTCGGAGCTGGGTCCGGGCGCGGGCCAAGTGCAAACTCCGGGCAGGATCCGGGTTCTGCTACTCGTTGCCATGGCTCCCGGCGGAGCGCCCGGAGAGGGTTGTGGCCCGGGTGTGAGCGCTCCTCCAGGCCGGGTTCTCCAGCCCCTGCGGGGCCTGACTCCTTGAGAAGTCTGCAGGGCCTGCCTGTAGGTTCCCAGGTAGAGGATATCCTGAGACATCCCAGGCTCAGCCAGGGGTTGCCCCCTGGCTCCGTCCATGGGTCGAGTGAGGTGTCGTCTTTGATGTTTCTCCGTCTCCCTCTTGAATTCAGATTCCCAGCCTGCTGAGTATCTGCACACTCAGCCGGGAGTTGGGGCCCAGCTCCCAGTGGAGGCCACCAGGGGCACATCAGTATGGCGGAAACACTGGAGTTCAACGACATCTATCAGGAGGTGAAAGGCTCCATGGTAAGAAGAGCTTGGGTTTTTAGTACAGGCCAACACAGGGAAGGACAGTAGACTTTTTGTCCATTTGCAAGAGCTTGCTTTGCTGACGTTGCTACTTTGGAAAAGGAGTCCGAATATAACGTAGTCGGTGTTTTGCCAACAGAAAGCAGTGTGTATAGATCTTCCTCGACTTCCCTTATGTCCCTCCAAACCCACTGTAAAGTGAAAATCCCCTTTAAGTCAAAAATACACTTAATACGTGTAACCTGACGAACATCCTAGGTTAGTCTAACCTACCTTACGCAGGGTTTCAGAATGTTTACATGGGCGTACAGCTGTGCAGAATCCTCAGACACAGAGCCTACCTTATAATAAAGTTTGAACACCCCACGTGGTTTATTGCATACTGTCGTGAAAGTTAAACAATGGGTAGAGCACGGTCAGTCAGAGCGCGTGTGTTGGTTGTGGACGCTGGTGATCGTGGGGGCTGACTGGGAAGCCATGCCTCGCTGCCACTGCCCCGCATCATGAGAGAGTGTACCACATGCTGCTCGCTTGGGAGAAGACACAAATTCAAAATTCAGATAACGGTTTCTGTTGGACGTGTATCATTTTCACACCGCCGTCAAGTTGAAAAATTGTTAAGCGGAGCCATTGTAATTCAAAGACCGACTGTATAGGAATCCCAGGATCTGAGCTTGAGAGGGACCGCTTGTCCTGCTCAGTCCCGAGCGCTGAAACCGAGGACTCGCAAGGGTTTTGGATGCCGGCATTTGGTGTTAGCATCCAGATTTCCTGGTTATTTGTCTCTTCTTTCTGACTCTCGCCCCTGCAGCTATTGGTCCCACATCTGTATCTGGCCAGCCCAGGATAGGTGTTGGGTGGGACTGTCTGAGCCCGGTACACCTGTGCGTTGTACCCTTCCATTTGGGCCTGTTTTTCCAACAGAATGATGGTCGGCTGAGGTTGAGCCGCCAGGGTATCATCTTCAAGAATAGTAAGACGGGCAAAGTGGACAACATCCAGGCTGGGGAGTTGACAGAAGGCATCTGGCGCCGTGTCGCCCTGGGCCACGGACTGAAACTGCTTACAAAGAACGGCCATGTCTACAAGTATGACGGCTTCCGAGAATCGGTGAGATGTTCTGTGGCCATAAGCCCTTTTTACTATGCCATCTTGTTTGTTTTTGATCTAGAAAGAGTTGGGGCTCCTTTGAGCAGGGCCTTCGAGGCCGTTAAGCAGTGTTCAGCTTTGGGTGTCTTGTGCTTTGACTCCAGAAGCTTTTCTATCGTTATAGATTTTTGGTGGTTTCTGCTCATTGCCTTTATCCAGATTCAGAGTCTTAGTGCTTTAGTTTGAGTTTTCTTTTTCCGTTTTGAACTGCTCGAGTCAAAGGTCTTACTCCGTTTTTTCTCTCTCGTTAAAGCAGTACTTCTATAAAGTCAGAGGGCACTGTGAGGCCTATAACCAGAAATGTTATTCATATACTTTCCTCCTCCCCTGGTCTGAGGGTCTGGTCCTCGGCAACAACTTCTTTCAACAGCCTGGGTTTCTGATAGAAAGGATACTGAAGCAGTTTCTCACAGATAATCCCAGCATGCTTAAGTTTGTGTTAAGGCCACCGGGGTTTACAGGGATTGCTCTCTCCCCTCTACCCACAGGAGTTTGAGAAACTCTCAGATTTCTTCAAAACTCACTATCGTCTTGAGCTTATGGAGAAGGACCTCTGTGTGAAGGGCTGGAACTGGGGAACGGTGAAGTTTGGTGGTGAGTCCTGGGAAGACTAAGGTTTGGAGGAGAAGGTCCGATGAAGGATGTCAGCCTTTACCTTGTTTTGCTCCTTTCTGCTACTATTTCTGGTTTCTTGTCAGTTTATAATTAATCATACACTCAACAAAAATTTTTTTAATGTTTGTTTATTTTGAGAGAGAGGCAAAGAGCGCGCGAGCAGGGGAGGGGCAGAGACAGAGGCAGAGAGAGAAAGAATCCCCATCAGGCTCCGTGCTGCCAGCACAGAGACCGACTCAGGGCTCGAACTCACGAACCGTGAGATCATGACCTGAGCCAAATTCAAGAGCTGGACGTTTAACCGACTGAGCCACCCAGGTGCCCCTATAGTTCATCATATATTTATTAAGGACGAAGGGGGTATGAGGCAGTGTGCCTCGTCTTGGGGGGACAGTGTGAACAGAACAGCCCCAGGCCCTACCCTCAGGAGGTCAGCAGTCTGGTGGGAAGGCTGTTTCTGCACACCTTGAGGGAAGGAGCTTGTGGTCGATAAGCCCTTACCCCTCAGGGCAGCTGCTTTCCTTTGACATCGGTGACCAGCCGGTCTTTGAGATCCCCCTGAGCAACGTGTCCCAGTGTACCACAGGCAAGAATGAGGTGACACTAGAATTCCACCAGAACGACGATGCAGAGGTCTCTCTCATGGAGGTGCGCTTCTATGTGCCTCCCACCCAGGAGGATGGCGTGGACCCTGTTGAGGTGAGGCCTCCCCTCTTTGCCTTGGGAGCATATGGTGCTGAGCAGGCCCTGGCCTGCCTGGGAGCAGGTCGCCGCTGCCTGACTACCAGTGTGCACTTCTGCAGGCCTTTGCCCAGAACGTGCTGTCCAAGGCGGATGTGATCCAGGCCACTGGAGACGCCATCTGCATCTTCCGGGAGCTGCAGTGTCTAACTCCCCGAGGCCGTTATGACATTCGGATCTACCCCACCTTTCTGCACCTGCACGGCAAGACCTTCGACTACAAGATCCCCTATACCACCGTGCTGCGTCTCTTTCTGCTGCCTCACAAGGACCAGCGCCAGATGTTCTTTGTGGTAAGCAGAAGCCCGTGGGGGTGGATCAGCCTGGTTTGTGCCCGAGTCTTTAGGAGATGGATCTTGCCGGTGTTCGGTTCGTCAGCAGTTCTCGGGGTGCTAAACCTTGTCGGCTCTTCCTTACCAGATCAGCCTAGATCCCCCCATCAAGCAGGGCCAAACCCGTTACCACTTCCTGATCCTCCTCTTCTCCAAGGATGAGGACATCTCCTTGACTCTCAACATGAACGAGTGAGTGTGTCCCTGAACCCTTGTCCCCTGCTGTCCTGGCAGGAGACCGGCGTGCTGTTAGAAGGCAGCAGTGCTTGTGACCTCGCATTCCTCTGTTTGCAGGGAAGAGGTGGAGAAGCGCTTTGAGGGGCGGCTCACTAAGAACATGTCAGGATCCCTGTACGAGATGGTCAGCCGGGTCATGAAAGCCCTGGTCAACCGCAAGATTACAGTCCCAGGCAACTTCCAAGGGTGAGAGTGCTGGTCTGGGCTCTGGCCCGCCTAGGGGGCACTGTGCTGGGAACCTCATCTCTTGGAGGTCCGGTTGGGTCTGACCATGATGGGTGTCAGCTGTCTCCTTAGGGGTCAGCCTAGTGAGGTTTCCTCACGCGAGGGCCTGAGGACACTCATGTCACTGCTGAGAGAGGTGCCTTTGGCTCTGTGCCACCTGCTGCTGAGGTAGGCACTGACTGGGCTCCCCACATCCTCCGCCAGGCACTCAGGGGCCCAGTGCATTACCTGCTCCTACAAGGCGAGCTCAGGACTGCTGTACCCCCTGGAGCGGGGCTTCATCTACGTCCACAAGCCCCCCGTGCACATCCGCTTCGATGAGATCTCCTTTGTCAACTTCGCCCGCGGCACCACCACCACTCGCTCCTTTGACTTTGAAATTGAGACCAAGCAGGGCACCCAGTACACCTTCAGTAGCATTGAGAGGTGAGGGCTTCCGCCAGTCACTTCCTAGGCATTCTGGGCCTGTGACTCTTCCCCAACTTTTCAAGCCTTGAGCAGAATTTTTCTTTTGCGTCCCTGGAATTTGGTCCTTCTTGGAGGAAAGCCTATCACTTTCTGTACTTAGATTGTTTCCCATATTAGGTGTCTGGTACTAGCCCTTCTTCTCCACTCCCCCTATGATGGAAATGCTATCTCTCCCTTTCCCGGAATGAGCTTTGTGCCCGGGAAGAGAGTAGCTAATGTTTATTGAGTGCTCACTGTGGGCTGAGCGTCTTACAAACATCTTCAGGCTGAGTCTTCATAACAACCTGTGAAGTACGAAATTCAGACTAGTACAAAGATGAGAACGTCCCTTTCCCTGATGTTCTACCCCTGCCCTGGGCATATCTGGTGCCTAGGTACACACCCTTCCCCGTCCTTTCTTTCCCAGATGCTTGACACTGCAGGTTCCTTTGAAGACTAGTGTCTGACTCTCCCTCACCGCTGCCCCCAGGGGTCTGTGGGCTGTTAGGTTGGGCAGCGTGCTCGCCAGCTGCAGGCCCCACAGTCCGCCCTGGCTGATGGGTGTCGGACCAGCTCCAGGCCCCACGGTCTGCCCTGACCGACGGGTGTCGGACCAGCACACGATGCACCCCTGCGTCAGCCCCTCCATCTAGTAACATGGTGCCTCTCCCCACACAGGGAGGAGTATGGGAAACTGTTTGATTTTGTCAACGCAAAAAAACTCAACATCAAGAACCGAGGATTAAAAGAGGTATCTGTGTGTGTGGAAAGGATGACCCTCTTCTCCTGTCGGGGGTGGGCAGGGATGGATTCTCCTGGCTTTTTCTTCACTCTCTCTTTTCTTCTTACCCTTATAGAAAAAAGAGGTGCGTGTGACCCTTCCCCCCTCCTGGTGCAGGTTTCCTCAGCATGACCTTAGAGCAGCCTCTGCAGCCCCTCAGGAGCCCCCAGCGGGCCCGGGAGTGGGAGGGGCTGGGACTAACCCAGTTGGCAGGAAGTCCTCGGGCATCGGCCCTGCATGTTGGCTGTGTGTGGACATTCCGGCCCCAGGGTCTTCTGGGAGCTGGTCTTACTCACAGGCATGGGGGTGTGCTTTTGAGTGTACAGGGCTTCTGCACCAGGGTGAGCCGGCCCTCACTCGCCTCTCTTCTCTGGCTAGGGCATGAACCCAAGCTACGACGAGTATGCCGACTCTGATGAGGACCAGCATGATGCCTACTTGGAGCGGATGAAGGAGGAGGGCAAGATCCGGGAAGAGAATGCCAACGACAGCAGCGATGACTCAGGAGAAGAAACCGGTGGGCTAGCCTTGGCGGTGCTGGGGCTGGGGGTACCAGTGGGCTAGCCTCGGCGGTGCTGGGGCTGGGGGCGGTCAGACTCTTGCCTGGGGCCAGAGCTGGGTGTCTGGGTAGGGGCTGGGGTCTCCGTATGGGGTGATGCTGATGCATCCCGTGTTCTTCTTCAGATGAGTCATTCAACCCAGGTGAAGAGGAGGAAGACGTAGCAGAGGAGTGAGTTTTGGTTCCATTCACGGGGGTGAGGTGGAGGCCTGTAAGCTTGAGGGACCAGAAGATATCTGGACATTTCTCGTGTCCCAGCATTAGCTACTGACCCAGGGTGGGAACGTGACCTCCAATGAGGTAACACCCGGAAATGCTTTCAAAATCGTCCAGGGCTTTGCAAGTGCAAGGCACGTCGGAAAGCCAAAAAAGCAGTGGGGAGAAAATGGCACTAAGAGCCAGTGCTTGCCCACTCACTAGCTGGGAGTGTTGGGGTCGGTTGCTGAATCTGTGTATTTTATTTTATTTCTTAAAATGTTTTATTTATTTTTGAGAGAGAGGGCATGAGCAGGGGAGGGGCAGAGAGAGAGGGAGACACAGAATCTGAAGCAGGCTCCAGGCTCTGAGCTGTCAGCACAGAGCCCAACACTGGGCTTGAACTCATGAACTGTGAGATCATGACCCAAGCTGAAGTTGGCAGCTTAACCAACTGAGCCACCCAGGTGCTCCTCCCTGTGTATTTTAAAGAACCTAATTATATGGGTATGGATGGACTTGGACTGAAGTTAGTTTTCCTGTTTCTTTTCCTTTTCTTTTAAAGTAATCTCTACACCCAGTGTGGGGCTTGAACTCACAACCCTGAAATCAAGAATCGTATGCTCTCCCGACTGAGCCCCGACTGAGCCCACTGGGCGGCCCTAGATTTTATTTTGTTATATTTACTTACAAAAAATTTTCCCTTTTCTATAAT